CATTTGAAATCAGTGGGTTTCGCATTTGGGTTCGTATCTGGGTTTCTCAAACAACTGAAATGCGAATATGAGACAACTGATTAATTTCTCAGTTAATGCGATGAAATGCGAATGAACTCAAAGACGGATGGATGCAAGATGCGAAGAATTTGAATGAAAATGCGAAGTTTTTAATGTATAAATGCGAATGAACTCAAAGACGGAAGAAAGTTTTTAATCTTAAATGAAATCATAGTTTCCTAATAAATTAATTAACAAAATACTTAACCCGAAAACAAAATCGAAAACCAAAATATAACCACATAACGTGAACCCACCAAACCAATTACGAATGTCAAAGAAAGACACATGAGAATTAACAAAAAAAAAAAAAAAAATTTCATTCACAAATGGTATAATGCATAAATAAAGCTTATTTTTTTCATTTACATAGAAAATATTAAGAACAAAACACTCCCATGTTCTTGTACATGATACATACAAAACAAAGAAGAAACTATTATTCATATGGTACCTTCAAATATAAGAATGATACAATAGTCAAATATGTATATGATAAAATTTGAAACAAATCAATCCAAATTCACAAAATTTTGTCAGTTAAATTTTTTTTGTTGTCTGACAATAAATGAAACCAAAAACTTATGCATTGCAATTTTCAAAAACAAAACTTACAAATGGGTTTACCCCAATAACAAAAACTTACATATTGCAAAAACTTACATATTGCAACTTTAAAGAAAAAACTAAACATTCAACTACAAGAGCTCTAAAAACCCAACAAGAAGATCATATTCAGATCTTAAGAAGCTTACCCACGATTTCTTTGAGATGTTGGTTTATATCAATCCATTTCAAGTCCTGTAAACACACATAAACACAAAGTTAGACATACGCATAGATACAGGACGATGGTCAGCAGCACCGGAATTTTAGAAGGATGCATAGAGGAAACTAATATGTGGAAGCTATGAGGTAGCTTTTTGATAGAGAGACAGAAAGGGGAAGTGCAAAGAACGATAACAAAGGTGGTGGGTTTAGCAAGCAAAGATAGCCATGGAAGGAGAAAAAAGGTAGTGTCTCGCAACAACAATGATCTAGGAATTTTTATAAACAACTAATTGACTCTTGGTGATTTGCAAGATAAACATAGACTCATACAAACACACACAACCAAATTGAGAAACGATAAGGAAAGAAAGTAATACCTTGAACTAAACAAATTAACAAGCTCTCTAGTTGCTTATTTCTTTAAGAACATCAAACTAACTATGAAATTTTCAAATATAATAAGAACCTCTATTATCAATTGCAAAGAATACAATATAAAAAAACGATGATATAGTCATAAAGAGAGTAACAACTATCTGACATTTGTGTTAATTTTCTAGTTCTAATGCAATTTCATCTACCGGAAGGACTTAAATGAGAGAACTTGAAACCAACATTTCATGATCAGCTACAATGAGATCAAAATCTACAAAACTAACATCTGACCTGCAAATCCCACACCAATATCCGATATTCAAATGATGGAGTAAAAACCCCAAACCCAATCCCCAAGAAAAAACAAACAATATCTTACCTTCAAACACAGATTCAGATTAACCCATCTGCAATTTTTTGGGTTTAATTAAGAATCAGTTCTAAATGAAAACTAAAATCGGAAACTATTAAAGAAAACCTACATGGCTTCGAATGATCTGCCGAATCTTTGAGTAGTCCACATCGGTTTCAAGGTTGAAGCGGCGATGCATATATCCTTAGGTTTCCAACGAGTGATGGAGATATGAATGAGGTGATGGTAGTAATGAAGTAGTGAAGACGAATGTGTTGATATGTGTAGGGTTTTAGAGATAGGTCTTAATAAGGTGTAGAAGTGGTAGAGGTGCGTTGGGGATGGGTAACAGTAGATATTGGTGAACAGAGAAACGTAGGCGAAGGAGGGTAGAGGCGAAAAATTATTGGGTGGCGGTGATAGACGGAAAGAGGCAGAGTGCCTACATTGGTGGTCAGACTGTGCGTGGTTAACGTTAATTTTAGAGAAGTAGGTAGGTGGCAGAGAAGGTGAAGCATGCGTGACTGTGGGTGGAGATTATAGAGGTGACGGAGTTGTGCGGTTGTGTGGCTGGTGAATTCCAACAGCTAGGGTTTTTCCATTGAATGAAGGAGATAATGTATAAAGAGATTGAAAAGCCGGTTATGGTTGTTGACCGATTAAACTGGCTGAAAGAAGGCCAGATCGGCTTCCTTGAGATAAATAAGGATTTTAACTTGGGGATTAAATAGCTTAGTCAAAATTCATGCATAGGTGATTGTACACTAAGTTTAAAAATTTAGACGATTTCAAATTTAATTTATTTTATTAATGGTTGTTTGTAATATTAGCTTAATCGTTTGTACGTCTTTAAAAAAATAATATTATTATATTCAATCTATTTATAGAAATAGTTAGATTTCTTTTAAGTAGTAAAGATATATTATATATATATATATATATATATATATATATATATATATATATATATATATATATATATATATATATATATTGATCTTTATGTTATGTAGGTAAATAAAAGAAGGGGAATTGTGGGATTAGGCATTGTGAATATTCATGCTAATTAATTAATTTGTTTGTTTATAAAAGAAGTCAAAATTGTTTTATCCTGATAGATAGCGTATCTCTATCGTAATAAAATAATAGCTTTATTAATATTATATCATTTGTTACTTTCATGGAAATCCTAATTAATTTTATGACACTTGTCCTACTATTGCTTCTTGATTTTAAAGTTGTCACTTGTTACGCCACAACATATTAACCTGTTTAATTTAATATTAATTGGTGTGAAATCAATTCACATGCCAATTTTGAAATGACAAATTGAAATTCTTTCATTGAGCTACGCCTCTCAAAATGGCATCTATTTTGAAGGGATTCACTTTTGAAATCCCTAATTCTTAACCCCCCAAATCTCGCTCCTTTCTATATATCTATAGTTTTGATATTGATTTTAAGAGGTAATTGTACAGAGTCAGGGAAGAAGCACGACAAGGACCGAACTAATAACGACAAAGAAGATTTTGAAGATCTCATATGTTGCTTTTGTTCTTTGGCATCTCACTCCTTGTGTGTTCAAACTTCTCTTCTACTTTACTCCTCTTTTGTGACTCAGGAAAATGATTAACCATCCCTACAGTGATTGACCTTCTCCTATTTAGCATCTCTAATGAATGCCTTGGTCTTCGATCTTTGTTCCCAGTTTCTTTTCTCTTTTACTCTCTATAAATATGTATGTATCTATTGTTTAAATTTGATTTTTTTCCTCATGTTTTACTAGGATCCAAATATGTGTTCCTAATCGTGTATACATTAATGATTGTATTTAGTAAATATGCAAGAACTAATCAAAATAAGAATCATATTAGTTGGACATGAGAGACATAATGATTGGACATGCCACATGGCAAAAGTTCTAACCTATTTCTAAAATAAAGTTTTTGACCAAAATAGCCTTAATAATATATAAATTGTCTAGGGAAAAAATAAAAAAAAGAAATTTTATAAATTTTAGAACTCAAGATGGTCTTTTTACTTACTACTATGTTAAATACTAATTAAATCTTTTTTAAATTTAATACTATTTTTTTTAGAATCTTCATTATTTTTATACATGTTTAATATAATTTAAAATGAAATTATTATAAATACATTATGGTTTATGAGTTCAATAAAAAAGATGAAAGTGATGAGGCCATGTTGATGGTAGCTAAAAAAGTAAAAATCATGGTATTTTTCTTAATTTGATTTTTTTTAGATAATTAATACTTCAAACTCGTGTAGGACCCATGCTTCACATGGGTCGGAAAAAAAAAAACTTTCATATTTTTTATTGCTATAAGTGTATGGACAAATACTTTGAAATACAAAAATAACACAAAAATCATCAATAATTAAAACGGAATTGTAAGGAGGGAAGAAAAAAAAAGATTCCATAATAGTAGGAGCATAAGAAAATCGAGGAGGGAAGAAACCTGCATGGATTTATCCTGAAGGTGGAAATCTCTTGGAATACGTGAAAGAAATATAGAGTCAACATTGATGCTACTGAAGTGTAATATGACACATGATTATGATTACGTTAGAAAAACAACAAAATCATTAATAGGGTAGTATTAAGCCCAAAACTCAAAGCCAAAGGTCATCGGTACATGAATCCCCAAAGGTGGGGCCTTGGTGCCGTAAAAAAATCGTCGACTCACACATCGATACCTCCTGTACACGACGTCGCCTTGGAGGCTGGAGGCGTTTCTCGTGTCGCCTTAAGCCAGCTAGTGCCTCTGAGCGCCTAAGGCGTGCTTTTTAAAACACAAATGGAAATTCCAAATATGAAATCTAATTTATTTTGGTTAATAATGCAAATGTGAACTTCAGAATTGAAATACCATAGGTCCATTAGTGAAAGATGAACAAACACAACCTCGGCCACAACTACTGTTCACATCGTACATATAACAAAAGAATCTCATAATAGTTAGCTACATAACCGAACGTTCCCCACTTCCTAGTAAAGAGCTCAGGGTGTGCATACGTTGTCGTATGCTTTCAAAAGCTCAACCTGGAATGGAATTCATCAATGAAATGGAATCCGTGATTGCATTCTATGATGGTTATGTTTTTGTATGTATTATATATATATATATATATATAATGTGTGTTTTCATTTATTAGTTATTTTAAAAATATAAGATGAATATTTTTTAAAGGAATTGTTTGTAATATTTGTAATATTTTTCTATCATAGAAGAAACTACTTTATAGTAGTGGCATAACTTTTATTTACAAAAAATAAAATTAAAGATAATGAATAAAATAATGATTTTTTTTGTATAAGAAGTTGTCATTTAAAGATGGAATAAATAAAAGTGGTTTATATCCTAATGTTTCATTCCAGTCCATTCCATTCCATTAAGGAATGAAAATGAAAAAGTATTAGCTAAGGAAATGAAAGTAACAAAATAGAAGGAATCGGAATAGCCCATTGCATTCCTTCAAACATTCCAATGGAATGAACCATTTCATTCCTTCCTTGATTCCAATATACCAAACACTGTCATATTATATTTAGCAAATTGAACAACAAAAGGAAAAAGAAGAAATAGTCATTAGTGCTTACCATAGCCTTGGTCTTGGAATAGAATGACCCAATGAAATTGGGTTTATCATCTCCCTTAAAACCAATCGCAGAACCTTCTTGTTGTCCAGAATCATGCTCAAACCAGTCAACATTCAGTCTCCTAGTTACACCAGCATCATTGGAAACATGAGTAAATTTAATAGCTTGAATATCTGGCAAAGAAAGATGTGTTAAAGGAAATTATCTTTTTTAGACCCATGTTTGCAAATTCTCATGTTTTTAGTTGCGATTATACTTTAGTTTAAAACACGTTCCATTCGTGTTGTATACCTGCTATTAAGTCCAAGACATCATTTACACTTTTACCAATTTGAATGCTTTACCAATTTGAATCCTTTTCTCCGCTTTGATCTCCCTTTACCCTTTTCACACACGCCTATAAATTTAGTGGATTTAAATTAA